GAATATGCTGTAGTTACAGTGCCCAATTATACAGATATTTGCGTTTACTTAGATAGTTGGTATTTTTTTAACTAAGCTTTTAAATTACTGAATTTTTTTTCTGCTTCATGTTGTTACGTATAAGGGACATGCAATAGGCTATATTTGGCACTAGTAAAATAAAAACCCTCTAATCTTTGTATTGTGTTTTCAGAAACAGGTCTGACAAAAGTCAAAATGAAGCCCAAAAAAGAGAAAATTATAATGCCCTAGCATCCTACTAATGGCATGATAGTAACTGATGGCCACCAAGCTTTTACTCTGGTGAGAAAATCTGTCTCAGGGAAGCTGGCTTAAACTCACAGTAGGCTATGCAACAGGATCATCTGATGACATTTATTAAATGCAAAATCTCAGTCCTGACCCCAAAATCAAAATCTCTGAGGGCAAGGGGAGCGCAGGAATCCGCATTTAAAAGCCCATGGAACATCCTCTCTGGCACCAGACCAGAGACCAGCTTTAAGAAGCCCTCAAAATCCTCGCCACTTTTGAAATATGCATATAAACCCACATAACACATGTGGTATCTTACAGAGACCAGTTCGTGAACTGATGCTGTCTCCCCTCCCAACAGTAAAGACGAGTCTTACATATCCCATGGCACGTGCCTCTGTCCGTGATGCAGGTGCACAGAAGATACTGGTTGACAGCAATTGACACTAAATACAGTGTCCAGGTATAAATCTCGCCAATAACTGAGGATCTCTTCCAGACCTACTTTTTTTAAATATATTTTATTGATTTTTTACAGAGAGGAAGGGAGAGGAATAGAGAGTTAGAAACATCGATCAGCTGCCTCCTGCACACCCCCTACTGGGGATGTGCCTGCAACCAAGGTACATGCCCTTGACCAGAATTGAACCTGGGACCCTTGAGTCTGCAGGCCGATGCTCTATCCACTGAGCCAAACCGGTTAGGGCCAGACCTACTTTTAATCACAAAAGTGCCCCGACTTGTCTAGAGAAAGTTTGCAAACAGGTTTATGTGTGGTTCATAGGTCTGGGAAGGGTTATCTTTTTAAAATGTTCTCAAATGAAAAAGTATTTATTTCATGTGAATATATTCTCCCCTAACTAATTAAACAGCACCCAACAAATTCATGGCAGTCTTACAACATTTAAAGGGAACTGGGTGAAGGAAGGTGAAGTGGTTTAATCACTGCTTCCAAAAGTAACTGTTACATAAGGTTCTTCAACCTCAGGGCATCCCTGTCCTGGTTGGCATTGCCAGTCACTTTAGGGTGTGGCAAGGCATCAAGGTGCGTTAAGTGGCAGCAGAAACAGTTGACTTCCTAGCTTTGAGGAAACTGGGATTCAGTAACAGGTCTTTGGTAAAATCTGAATAGGAGAAACCTTTAGGTCCAGGTGTTACACAGCTGGTGGCAAACATATTTTTTTAAAATCATTGGTAAAATATCTGGCACTCCAGGAAATCTTTTGGACTTGATGGTACAATTTGTTTTCTGGGTTGTTGTTGTTTTTTGTAATCATTCCTTTTCTTTCTTTCTTTTTAAATATACATTTTTATTGATTTCCGAGAGGAAGGGAGAAGGAGAGAGAGAGAGAAACATCAATGATGGGAGAGAATCATGGATCAGCTGCCTCCTGCACCCTCCCCCCCCCCCACTGGGGATCGAGCCCATGCAACCCAGGCATGTGCCCCAACTGGGAATCGAACCTTGACCTCCTGGTTCATAGGCCGATGCTCAACCACTGAGCCACGCCAGCAGGGCTTGAAGGTAAAATTTGAAGTGAAGTGTACAGTTACCATCATCTGACAAAATCTCGATTGGTTAAATCTGACTCTTTTTAATATAATGCTGTGGAATACTGTGGTGGGCCAAAGGGCTTTGGGCACTTGCCCTTGGTTAGCCAGAGAAGGTGATTTTCCCCTTTCTTGGAGTGTTTTCTACAGAATCTCTATTTTTCTCTCTGCTCTAGCTGCCTGCGGATGTGCAGATGCACGCAGTTAGTCATATCCGCGTCAATTTATACAACCAACTTCTCCCAACACCTGATGGAAGCAAAAAGGAAACGAAGCTTGGTTTATCAATAGGACGTGATTAAAATTAGTGCTTTCCTTGGTTTTTAACATAAAAGCATCTTTCCTGCATCTCAAATCTGGTGAGGGCTGTATGATTAAAGCACTTCAATCAGTCAATATTTAGATTCATTGACGTTCCCATATGTGGCATTCTCCTTTACTATAAAAAGACTAATTTGGTCCTTCCAGAATGCAGCTTGCAAGAGTGTTGTTCTAGACTTTTTCCCAGAATACAGATGCTAAATTCTGAGCTTCCAACCCCAAGTTAGGTGAGTGGAAGTGAAGTTACATTAGGTTTATCCATGGCCTCAACAACATCAAGTTCCCAACTAACACTTTTAAGTCACACCAGAAGGTATCTCTATACCTGCCAGGTAGTCTGGTTATACTTTAGTACAATTCTCTGGCAAGAAGGAGTAGCCTTGGCTCGGCAGTCCTCAAAACTTTGTTTTGTAGCCCAGAAACAGAAGCGTATGTCTAAGGTGCTTTATTGTCGTCTTAGTGACATGGATCTTTTTTCTTTCCCAACTCTGAAAACCTATGAGATTCTATATCTGTATACTACGTGTAAAGCCCTATGGAAGCTGCCATCAGAGTTATAAAATGAGTACATCACTGATCACTTACAGGACCACCTTATGTGTCAGCAAAATCTGAGGGTCTCAAAGCCTCACAGCCCTCCAAAGCTAGTTTTACCTGCTACCTGATACATTAAGGTTCTCCATGGTGCCTCATCCCATTAACATAGAAAATTAATATAAAAGAACATATATTTCTGTCCCTGGCCGGTTGCTCAATGATGGGAGAGAATCACTGAAGGGTCATGGGTTCAATTCCCAGTCAAGGGCATGTACCTGGGTTGCAGGAGCGATCCCCTAGGCCCAGTTGGGGCTCTTGCGGGAGGCAACTAATTGATATGTCTCTCTCACATTGATGTTTCTCTCTCTCCCCCTCCCTCCCTCCCTTCCACCCTTTCAAAAAAGCAATGGGGGGGGTGGGCCTGGCCAGCGGGCCTCTGGTTGAGCATCCACCTATGAATCAGGAAGTCTCAGTTCGATTCCTGGTCAGGGCACATGCCCCAGTTGCAGGCTCAATCCCCAGTGAGGAGCATGCAGGAGGCAGCTGATCCATGATTCTTTCTCATCATTGATGTTTCTATCTCTCTCTGCCTCTCCCTTCCTCTCTAAAATCAATAAAAATATATTTTTTAAAACATCAATGGGGAAAAACATATTTTTGTGTGAGGATTAACAAAAAACATAAAAATGTTTTGCTCTGGCTGGTTTTGCTCAGTGGATAGAGCATTAGCCTGCGGACTGAAGGGGTCTGGGTTCAATTCCAGTCAAGGGCACATGCCCGGGTTTCGGGCTCGATCCCCAATCGGGGGTGTGCAGGAGGCAGCCAATAAATGATTCTCTCTCATCATTGATGTTTCTATCTCTATTCTCCTCCCCTCCTCTCTGAAATCAATATATATATTTGGAAAAGGAAACCTCTTCAGATTTCAAAGTCGGGTATTCATTAGTATGAAAAAAATCTGAGACTTTCCTACGAGCGAATTTATTTTGGACTAAGGGGATTAAAATATGTAAGAAAAGCATCAAAAGACCAGAATGATGAGGACAAGAGAAAATACCATGGTATGGGCAAAATCTACAACTAGCTTGGGAGGCTGAGTCATAAAGACAAAATATACCAGCTTTCTAATTCCGGGATGCTCCTGACACCTACCTTTAAGAGCTTACAGTCATATTTAGAAGATAAGATGTAAGCAGGAAAAAATAAAAAGATCCGCATATGGCAAGGTGTGTGGACTTGATAATGAGAAGATAAAAAAGGAAGGAAAGGACATTCATATTAAATGGAATTCATTTAACAGCAAGTGACAAAACCCCAACTTAAATTGGTTCAACACTTAAAAGGGGGTTAAAATATATCAGCTCACATAACTGCAGAGGAAGGGCTAGATCTGGTGCCCAAGTAATATCATTAATTGTCTATGTCCCCCAGCCTCTTATACTGGTGTTGCTTGGAATTAGTCATTTACTCTCAGCCAGGCTCTCCCCTCTGGACAGGCAGATGCTACCAGAAGCTACCAGTTTAGTAACCCCAATTAAAAAAAAAAAAAAAAAAAAAAACAGTGCATTAGTCACTGTGATCGACAGTAAGATTCAGGATCTGCCCCTCCTGTCAGCTGGCTGCGCTGAGAGTGATGGAGGGGTGGGTTTGCTGAGGCTCCGGTTAAAAGGGGGATGGGTGCAGGGAGGCAGAACAGCAGACTTCCGGCCACTTTCCCTCCAGAGGAGGCTTCCCGGTGAGAGGAGGATTTTTCCTGAGCGCAGCTCTCCCAGGCACGCTCACTCGCTCACTCGTGGCCACCAAACCATATTTTCAGCCAGAGAGTTGTATAGTCATCACAGCTCCCCACTGAGATTTTCTTTCCAAATTACCACAAGGGCACTCTTTGGAGGGCAGTGTCCTCCGTGGAGGACGCTGGTCACCAGGCTTGAAATTCTCTAAGATGGTTTTATTTTAATAGATATTTGAAGCACTTTATTGAGGCAACGCCACACATATTTAATGAAGCTCTGAAAAGGCACCTAGTGTGAAATAGGAGACGAGATACATCAAAAGTAAAAATAGGTGGCTTAAAATAGAATTCCTGGCTTCAGATGATCTATAAAGCTGCTAATCTGCTTTCGATGCAAAGTACATAGCTACAAATAATTAAAAGTTAAATAACACAGAAAGTGAACAGGAGGAGAAAAAGTTCCACTTCCCAGAAAGGGCCAAAGAACAATTCCACTTATTAGACAAGATGTAATTTTATTTACGTGTGTGCATGCGTGCATGTGTATATGTGTGTAAAAGATCGATTGTTTTCTGATTGAATAAATAATTTATTTTTGTCTTCTCAGTGATGGTGAAAACCGGTTTTGTGTGTGTCCAAGGCTGTACTCAGGCAAGCTGTGCCAGTTTGCAATGTGTGAAAACAACTCATGTAGAAACGGGGCCACCTGTGTTCCCAAATCTGGGACAGACATCGTCTGCCTCTGCCCCTACGGGAGGTCTGGACTCCTCTGCACGGAAAGTAAGGCATTTGATGATTCAGCCTGGGGCACAGGCAGAGGAGGTGAAGAGGACAGAAGTCACTCAGAGCAGTCAAAGCCAGCTTCTGACTGATCAAATACTTCAAATTGTTTTCTTGGTTCTTTCCAAGTCAGTCAAGACAAGATTGATGACCTAGAGCAGTGATGGTGAACCTATGACACGAGTGTCAGAGGTGATACGCGAACTCATTTTTTTGGTTGATTTTTCTTTGTTAAATGGCATTTAAATATATAAAATAAATATCAAAAATATAAGTCTTTGTTTTATTATGGTTGCAAATATTAAAAAATTTCTATATGTGACATGGCACCAGAGTTAAGTTAGGGTTTTTCAAAATGCTGACACACCGAGCTCAAAAGGTTCGCCATCACTGACCTAGAGAGTATTATGCTAAGTGAAATGAGTCCATAGAGAAAGATAAATACTATATGATTTCACTTACATGTGGAATCTAAAGACCAGAATAAACAAATAAAATTGAAACAGACTCCTTTATACAGAGAACAGACTGATGGTTTCCAGAGGGGAGGAGGTTTGGGGGGCAGGGTAAAAGGTGAAGGAATAAAAAAAATTACAAATTGCTAGTTACAAAGCAGTCACAGGGATGTAAAGCACAACATAGGGAATATAATCAATGATATTGTGGTAAATATGTATGGTGCCAGGCGAGTGGTTGGAATAACAAGGAAGCACTCTGTAGGGTATATGATTGTCTGACCACTAAGCTGTACACTGGAAACTGGTACAGAATTGTATTGAGTGTGCCTGGCCAGGGTGGTTCAGGGGTTGAGTGTCAGACCATGAACCAGGAGGTCACGGTTTGATTCCCGGTCAGGGCACATGCCTGGGTTGCATGGGCTCAATCCCCAGTAGGGGGCATGCAGAAGGCAGCCGATCAATGATTCTCTCTCATCAATGATGATTCTATCTCTCTCTCCCTCTCCCTTCCTCTCTGAAATCAATTTTTAAAAATGGGGTTGACAGAAGATTTTTTTTTTAAGTATTGAATGTAAACTGTAATTGAAAAAATAAAAAGATCCATTAATGAGACTGATCACTGAGCAGGTATTTTTCATACCATCAAGTAATTACAAAGGAGGTAATGAATTTTCCCTAAGGTTAGACTACAGAAAATCTCTGTATTATAAAATCTCAAAGTCATTCGAATGCTCAAAGAGTAACAAGGAAAATCAGGTGCAAGATATAAAATCAAATTATTTTACGTCATTTTTGCAAACTGAGGATATAATTAGCAAGTGGGTATAGACCAGTTGTTTTTGTTTAAAAACAACAAAGCCTATGGTAGTTATTATATATCAAGAATCTAAATCACAAATAATAGCCATGTGCCTCTCCTTAGGAAAATCCAGTGTGTGGAAACCCTAAATTATAAAACGGCACGAGATTGCTTTAAGAAGCAAATTGCCTAAAAATGCAATGTTGGCTTGATATACAGGCATGAATGTCTATAAATATTTTCAGAAATAACAAAAAGTAATTGGTATTACCATTTCACCAGCTCAGGACTGGACTTGTTTCATCTTTATTTTTATCATAAAGATAAGAAACAAAGTTTACCCGTTTGGCACTAGTGATATTTATTACCAAATTTTTAGAATAAGACTCCTGAGGTGAGCACAGGGCCTAGGCCCCCAGTCCACCAGTAAACAGATCCAGCCTTTGCTGACTCATCAAAAAACTGGCTTCATACCCTAATGTAACAGGTATGAAAACTGAAACTAGGATAAAAAAGAATCTGGGACTAAAAGGCATTGAAGTTTTGGGTATGTATGTCTTTGAAGGGAATTGAAACTATGGATCTAAGCATAGCTGGAAAAGGGGAAGCTAAGAATTACTAGGAATTTTATTCTGTGTGTAGCATAGTTATAGTATAAATTAGCCAAGTAATTTTCATAAGAAAAAGCATCCTAGGCTGAATAGATATGAAGTCTTTTTCTTTCCCATAAAAACCTATTGTTTCTCAGAAATAATTATCCTACTTAGAAAAAAAGCAAATTGAAATGCAAATAATCACAATAAATTTGATTACTATAAGATGAATCATCAGTTTCGCTCCCTACTTGAAAACAAGACTACCATAGGAAATAAGAAATGAAGAATTATAAGAATGTCTTCACATTTTTACCAAAAAAAAAAAATGTTTACTCTCATCTCTTGATCTCATTAGGAGTCCCAAGATGCAGAGATTTATGGATTATTGAGAGAGGAAATATTAGACAATGTTTATTAGGCTCTTTGCCTCAGGGTAGCTAAGAAGAAATGCCTATGTGCACCCATCCAGAAGAATTTCTCAAAATAATTAGCCTGTCCATTAATATATTCCACAAATGTGTCAGATCCTTTCAAGATTCCTACTCTCATAGAGTTTAATCTCCTAAGTGAGAAGATAAAAAGAAAATAAAAATGGCTCAAGACACAATATAAATTTATGAAAAGAATTATGAAGGAAAGAAACAAGAAGCAATAAAGTAACAGGTTGAAGGCACTATTCTAGACAGGTGCTTACTAGAAGAATGACTCCAGAAGAGGAGATATTTGTACTAAGGCCTAAAGAAAAAGGAGTGTAACCTATGAAAAGCAGAAAAAAACAAGTATTCAGGCAGAAGGTTTAGAAAAATGGAAGACCCAGAAGAGAGATAGAACCTAGGCTTTTGGAAGAATGAAAAAGTTTTCACAATAGCTGGAGCCTAAGGAAGCAAGGCAGAAAATTCTGTCTGACATTAGCAGGGCCTTGGAAGCGTGGGAAGGTTGACTTTTATTTCTAGGTCCTTTAAAAAGCCATTGGAATGTTTTAAAGAAGCATGTGGTGGCATATCTGTTTGTCTAAACCATTTTGACTGCAGTATAGAAATTGATTTTAGAAGACTTTTGTCAGTGATCCTCACAAAAGATCATTTTGCTTAAGACAAGAGTGATGGCAATGGAGGTGCAAATAAGTGGATGAACTTGAGATCTATTCTGCAGATGGAGAGAGAACTGACAGAACTTCCTGGGAAATGTGTGAAAGGAGCTGAATGGAGAACATCCAGATTTTTAAATTTTATTTGTTGGGATTATAGCTAAAAGACGGTGGTGACATGAGGAAGATTAAAGGCATACCAGGATTTTTACAGGGCATTATTGGGAGCTAAACAAGTTTTACTATGTACAGGTGATGGGAAAGATGCCTGTTAGATATCCAAATGGAGATGATATGTAGACAATTGAATAAATGATTCTGGTACTCAGGAAAGAGGTCACGACTAAAGATACAATTAGGCAAAGCATCAAAATAGAGGTGGTGGTTAAAACCATAGAGCCAGAGATTGTCTAAGGAGAAATTGTAGATCAAGACAAGAAGAAGGCTAAGAACTAAGCCCTTCAGGATTCCAATATTTAGGGATCTGGTAGAGGAAAGAAAACCATGTTAAATAGCAATACCATCCTCACACAAACACCACCTATTATCTTTCAGCCCATAAATACTGCTCCTTTTATAACGGGCATTGTCTTAGCCTGGGTGCTCCATAAAAGTGGAACTTGAATAAAGGATTGCATCCAAGTAGTTTATTTTGCAAATGATCTCAGGAAACAGGAGTGCAGTGAAAGCCTAGAAAGAATAAAATGGAAAAGTCAGTACAAAGGCCCATGTGGAGGAGAACATCACCCTGGGCAACCATGCTTGATTCTACTGGGATCTTCTGAAGAGCTAGCTAAAATGAGTCTAAGGCCCGGCCCATGCAAGGAGAGATCACTGGTTCAGATTCCTGGTCAGGGCACATGCCTGAGTTGTGGGCTCAATCCCCAGTAGGTGGTGAGCAGGCGGCAAGCCAATTGATGTTCCTCTCTCATCAATATTTCTGTCTTTCTCTCCACCTTCCTCTCCCTCTAAAAATCAATAAAAACATATTGTAAAATGAGTCTTAGAATTGTCTGACCTTATGAGGAAATGTATAGAATGAGTCTGAGAATTGTCTGCCCTAGGGACAAAAGAGAGAAGCATTTAACCATTTTCTCATGGTTCCTTTCAACAGAGGGTTGCCCCACAGGGCATTCATTTTTCCACACTTCTAGGTTGCCATACAAGCAAGAGTGCAAGCTCTTGCAAGCATCTCAGGCAAAGGCTTCAGAGAAGCTGGAGGTCAAAGAAGGAGAGCTTATCATATCAATATTCCACAACAATCACTAACATGCCCACTCAAGTGTCAGCTCCGTACAGGAGCCAACTCTGCATCAAGCAGGCACAATGCTTCCTTTACTCCATCAGTTAGTGTGACGTGGTACCCAAATCATTTCGTGGACCATTCACTGTTACTAAGCTGACTTCCAGGAATGTTGTCCAGAACATGCTGAGTATGTGTTTATTCAAAAGAGAAAAAGCATAGAGCAACCAATAAGCAGAGCTGTTGCCCAACTACAACTACATTTAGAACAGGCACAGAATAATATCTGAAAATCCCTTTTTTTATCTTTGCATTTTTTTAATACCAGAGAATGAAAAACCGGCTTGTTTTATTTCATCAGCAGTCATGGTTGCTACATAGCACTTTTCTTTAAAATTATAACAATATCTACCATGCTAGTGTATTCTTTGGGGAGATAATAAAAACTATAATTATGACATTTCCTACCTTGTTGATATGTTCACTGAGCAATTCATTCTGGAGAGACCTTGGTAGTGATGACTGGGGCTGAGACAAACACTACAAACTGAAAACTTCCAGCTGCCTTCCTTTGTAAAATGCTTTACTTTCCACCTCTGTGCTTCTTATTCAGACTTTCTGTTGCCTATTCTTACGCAAGAATCATCTCTTCTTGTTTTCTTAACCACAAAAGGGGAATGGGATGTCTTATCTTATCTCTTGCCCTCTGTGTCCCTTCTAGAAATATTTCCTAATTAACTTACCTTATCCTCCCAACCTTGGTGTCTCAATGGAACACAGCCTTTGAAAAATCAGTGTAACCACTGCCTGAGAACTA